AATCTTAATAATTCGGTCAAATCCAGCGATTTCACGTCATCGCGCGGTGCACTCGCGATGCTCTGTCATGCACCCAGGCCGCGAATCCTGTGCAAAAAATTCCACGCGGGCGACATGCGCGCGCGTCGCCGCGAGCGCATGCTCAAATCCTTCTAGAGTCGTCGCCGTCATTGGCACCGTCGCATGGACGTCCTGTCGTCCACGTCGCAAAATGCATGGCAGGAATGGGACGCGGCGCACACCCCGCGCCCGCCCATCCAATCCGTCCCATTCTAATCTGCAAAAGACAATACACAGTTTTTGTTTTTCTTGTCAACATGGTCGTGCTGTCGTCACGTCGCAAAATGCGTGGCAGGAATGGGACGCGGCGCGCACCCCGCGCGAAGGGGTGACATGTCGATCTCGCCTCGGCGCCGCGCACCAACGCCTGCGGTGTACCGGGCCATTCTCGACTCGTCTGGCAATGCGTGCGCGGCATTCAACACGCGCTCGCCAGTTCCCGTCGGCAACCGCCATCGCGGCCGCATCAGCTGTACCAAACCGGCTGGCCGGTGTGACTTCGGCCCCCAGTTGTGCCAGCTTTGCTTCTTATGTTGTGGGAGGGCGGGTGGGACTGGGCATGCCATGCTTGACTCGCTCGAGCTGGCTAGCTTGACTCCTCCTCCTACTCCTTCTCCTCCTCCTCCTCCTCATCCTCCTGCTCCTCATCCTTTTGCGTTGGTCAGATTTTGGCCGAGGGCTGCAGCGTACTCTTCCGCCTCGTCCTCCTCCTCCTCCTCTTCCTCCTCCTCCGTGTGCCCTTTGCATCCTGCCTGCACGGGTACCTGCTCCGTCTTGTCTACCACTCAGACTAGACCTCGAGGTTGCTTGGGGGTGCTGCCACCTGTGCACCTGTCGCCGCCCTCGTAGGCTCCCGGGAGGCACACCGGAGTGGCGTCATGCGCGCATCCAGGCTGGACCACGCGATTCCTCGGGGATGTGCTGCCACCCGCGCAGATGTCGCCACTCTCGCAGGGGGAGGTCCAGCGCAGTCGGGTCACGTCCAGACGAGAGCCCTCGCGTCCGTCGGGGGCCTGCCGCCCGCGCAGACATCGCCGCCTGCGTGGGCTCCTGGGGTCCCGCAGAGCGGATCCAGACTTGACCTCGCGTCTGTCTGGGGGTCTGCCACCTGCGCAATCGTCGCCACTTTCTCGTGGGCTCCTGGGAGGTCTAGCGGAATCGGGCCTCACGCACATCCAGACTAGACTTCGTGTGACTTCGTGGCCACCCGCGCAAGTGTCGCCACTCTCGTGGGGTCCTGGGAGGCCCAGGGGAGCGGAGGTGCACGCGGCTCCAGACGAGACGTTACGCTTCCTTGTGGTGCGCTTGTCGTTGTTGTCCCTTTTGCGGTCTGAGTTGCGAGAGTGTGTGTGTGTGTGTGTGTAAAAAGGGGGGCCTTTGAATGTGGTCCGACGTTGTTTGGCTAAGCGTTCAGGAGTGCTGCAGATCTTTCAAATTGTTTTTTGGTGGAGCGCTCATATTGGTCTCGCGTTTCGCAAGGGTCGGGTAGGTAACGGGTATATGCATCCCTCCAATACAGGCGACACCGATCACCCCCCGCCGGCTCAATCTGCAGGGGTGTCCTGTCCAGTTCCGAGGCGTTAATCAGACCCCACTACTTAGACGAGGACTGGGAGGAGGAAGAAGGAGAGGAGGAGGAGGAGTCGGAGGGCTGGATGCGAACGAGGGTGAGGAGAATATGGTGGAAGAAGAGGGCCCCAGCGGGGAGCCCGAAGCTGCTCAGCTGTCGCAGGCCAGAGGGTTCGATGGGGGTCGCTGGTCGTCGCGAAGGCCCTGAGAGGATTTCGCTCCGGGAGGGATGGAGGGGGTGAAGGACAGGGAGATGAAGAGGCGAATCGGGCCTCCTTGGACGCCCTCGTCGCCACGGCTGAATGCGCTGCGAATCATGGGCAGAAAACATCCCAGGGCACATGCGGGGTTCGACATGTGAGGGAGGAGGCTGCGATTTATTCTAGGGCCCAGTGGAGGGGTGGAGGGAGCGGGGAGCAGTGGGGGTGACAGGAAGGAAGAGCAGGGATCAGGACGGAGGGAGGGGAGGGCGGGGGGGGGGCAAAGGATAGGAAATGATTGGTGGGGGAGGCAGCAAGAAGGAAAACGAGGCGGGAGCGGGGACCAGAGTGCACCAAGGATGCATCAACGAGTTCCGATGCACCAGTACACCCTCCCATACCAAGTCCATCCCGCATACGTCCCTGCGGGCCTTCCTGCGTCACTTAAGCAAGCGACCTTTTGGAATGCGTGCACCCCATGGCCATGCCATCCAGGCGAGATCCCGGCGTTGAAAAGGAGCTGTCTCGTTCTAGCGAGCAGTATTGAGTTTGAAGACGGTGGGGCCATAACATGCAAGCGGGGCGTCTCGCGAGAGGCCCCTCTTGGAACCCATCCGTGTTACCGGTGCAGGGTCTGGTCCTTCTTGCAAGTGTGTGTGGAGCGACCCGGTCGAGAGCCGCAGGTCGTGAAGGAGCCGCCCTCCATCCGCGCAGCGCTGGCTTGAGCTCCAGCTGCCGGCCCTTGAAATTCGAAAGGGCCTCGCCCTCTGCTGCCGCCTCTTCCCCCCTCTGACCCAGAACCGCTCGATCGGCTTTCTCCGGGCAGGCGCCGTGTTAGCTCCGCACGACGCCATCTGCCTCGTCCGACGGCCTCCCTCCCTCCTTTCCTCCCTCGCTCCTTCTCTCGCTCCTCCCTCCTCTTCCCTCCCTCCCTCCTCCTCTCCTTCCCTCCATCGCTCCTTCCCTCCTTCCCTCGCTCCTTCATTCCTTGCCTCCCTCGTCCCTCGCTGCAAATCTGATCGACTCACGAACCGGGAACGGAATCTCTCTCTCTCTCTCTCTCTCTCTCTATATATATATATATATCGATCTACATGTGAGGCATGGCAACCTTTTTGTAAGGCATCTGAGTGGGCGACGGGCAGTTGCAATGCTGAGCGTATCTTGATGTGCCGTGCCAAGGGCTGTGCTGTGCTGCGCAGTGCTGAACGGCGATGTGCCATGTCACGATGGTGGTCTCTGGCGTTGTGGATCGAGTCCTCATTGGCATCCGAGTCCTGACCGATCTGATCTGGATCTTAAGCTCGAGCTACCTGAGTGCACAGTAGCTGCCCCAGAGCTGGTTGAGTGGAAACGTGCGGGACGTTCAACCACCTCGACAAACCCGACTCAGCTTCCAGAAGGAAGGACACGACACGGGGCGCAGGCTCACGGACGCGCCACAGGATGTTCGAGGGGCGCACTAGGGGATGCGCCAGAGAGCGTTTCAGGGGGCGTTTCAGGGGACATGCCCTGGACGTGTCAGGGACCTGCCACGGGACGTGCCAAGGCGCGTGCCATGGGGCGGCCAGAGGACGTCATGTCAATGGACGTTGCAAGGAGCGCGCCACGGAACGGGCAGGGGAAACATTTGTGGACGAGGCAGGAAATGCGACAGAGGACGAGCCAGGGAACGTGCCACGCCGAGTGGCGTGACAGGGGACGTGCCAGGGCATGTCACGCCAGAACGTCGCAAGGCAATCGTCAGGGGACGCGCCAGCGCGTCAGGAAACGCCACACACACGGGCGGGGTTGGACTGCGATGTACTCTATTGAGACAAGCGTTTCGCTCGAGACATCCTCAACGCATCCTCATGTTAGACATTCGCCTGGGCGACCTGGGCAAGTGAAAACAAGCGTTTCGCTCAGCACATCATCATGCTAGACATCTGCCTGGGCGATCTGCACAAGTGAAACCAAGCGTGTCGTTCAAAGCGTTTTCAAGACCTCCTCATGCTAGACATCTGCCTGGGCATCCTGGATGCGCGAAAAAAAAGTTCGCTCGAGACATCCTGCCCGCATCCTCATGTTAGACACCTGCCTGGGCGACCGGGACACGTGAAAACAAGCGTTCCGCTCAATACATCTTGAACACATCCTCATGCTAGACATCCGCCTGGACGACCTGGACACGTGAAGACACGCGCTTCGTTGAATACATCCTCAACACATCCTCATGTTAGACACCTGCCTGGGCGACCTTGGCAAGTGAAAACAAGCGTTTCGCTCGAGACGTTCTCAACACATCCTCATGCTAGACGTCCGCCTGGGCGACCTGGACACGTGAAACCAAGCGTCTCGCTCGAGACATCCTCAACTCCCTATGCGACCTGGACACGTGAAAACAAGCGTCTCGCTCGGGACATCCTCAATACATCCTCATGCTAGACGTCTGCCTGGGCAACCTGGACGCGTGAAGCCAACCAAGCGTCTCGCTCAAGCCTTTCACTTAAGACCTCCTCTGAATTTTGGTCCCCAGGAGATCTACAACATAGAAAAGCGTTTCGCTCGAGACAATCTCAACCATTTCGCTCGATACCACCGAAACAACCGCACATCTGTATTCTGCCATGTGTTTATCGATCGGAATTTCAAAAACCAGCGTTTCTCTCGGGACATCCTCAACTTTTGAATTCGCCAGCCCTATGCGACCTGCCTATTGATCGCAAAATCAATAAGCTGACCCTACGCAAGTTGAGATCCAGCATTCGGTTTACCTGCTAAGAGAGAACCCCCTGGGCCCAGGCCCTTTCCAGGAGAAACCTGCTGTGGTTGGCAACGGCTGTACAGCATGCAATCTGCAGGCGTCCGCGTCGCCCCTCACCGCTCTTCACCTCTCATCGGCGTCGTCGTCGTCCTTGTCCTCGTTGTCGTCGTCGTCGTCGGCGTCGGCTTTGGCGTCGGCTTTGGCGTCGGCTTTGGCGTCGGCTTTGGCGTCGGCGTCGGCATCGGCGTCGTCGTCGACGTCGGCGTCGTCGTCGTCGGCGTCGTCGTCGTTGCCTCCCTCTCCCTCCTAACCCCCCACTTGTCGGCGCCGCCGTCGTCGTCGTCGTCGTCGTCGTCGGCGTCGTCGTCGTCGTTGCCTCCCTGTCCCTCCTGACCCCCCCCTTGTCGGCGCCGCCGCCGCCCGGCCTCGAGGGGCGGGCTGCTCTGGCGCCCCCCCCCCCTCTGGCGGCGCCCGCTGCGCGCCGCACCTTCACGTTGCACGAACTCCGGTGTCGAAACTTTCGCTCTGGCCCAGGGCAGCGGAGGCGGGCGCGCCCGCCCCGGCAAGCCCGCTGGCAACTGGCAGGAGGAGGAGGAGGCGGTGGAGGAGGCGGAGCAGGAGGAGGAGGAGGAGGAGGAGGGGGAGGAGGAGGAGGAGGAGGAGGAGGAGGAGGAGGAGGAGGCGGAGGAGCGGGAGGAGGAGGATTGCAGTGTAGTGCTGGTGCCCTTCAGGGTAGGCACAACCCTTTTGAATCGGATGGGGCACTTGGGCCCTCCCACCCGTGAGATAGGTGCTCGATGTTGGCACCTGGTAGTGGTGGGTGATATGCGCGTGGCGCATATCCTGTGGCAGCCACCTCTGCCTCGCAGCACCGTGACGGAGGGGGTCAACGCATGTGGGTGAGACGTCCCATCATGAGGGACGACGAATTATGGACCTGAGCGTGATGCTTGACAGCAGTGTGAGTAAATGTGAGCCCCATGTTGTGTCAACATTGGTGCCGACAGACTGCACCAAACCGAATTCAAGCGCCAATGTGCGTTGCCAGGGGGGGCACGGTTTGTCTGCCCCTAGGGGGTGCAAGCATAGCTCGGTCTTCAAGTGACCAGAAAAACGTTTCCCCCACTTCGGTCCTCATGGGAGACCGTCGGAGTTTGTGCGGAAGATGTCCGAGGCATAGGTGGCCGCTTCCCACGGGTGACATCAGCGGGTCGGCGTTGAGGAGCCTTGTGGCAACCGAAGTGGTCGCCTCCTGGGTCCTTGGATGGGGGTCTAGGATAGTGGACTTGTCCAGTTATGACCCCGTCCGAGTCCAGGGCAGCCCCACTCCCGAGGTCTAACGGCCACGCAGCCAAGACGAGGTTCCGATGTTGGCACCTGGTTTTGGTGGGTGATATGCGTGTAGCGCGTATCCTGTGGCGGGCACCTCTGCCTCGTAGCCCCGTGACCGGGGGGTCAACGCATGTGGGGCAGACGTCCCAGCATGAGGGGGCGACGACTGATCCAAGCGTGATGTGTGGGGAATTCAAAAGGGCAAAATACACGTTCGAAGCCTTTAGACACTTCCGACGGCGACGGCGACGACGACGAGCGAAGTGGGGGCGCCGTTTCTTGAGTTCCCTGCAGGCCCTGGGGCCACGCAGATGGCAGATGGCTCCACGGCGGCCCAGGCAACACCTTTTTCGCTTGTCGCTGTCTTGATTTGTCCTGGATTGGCAGGCCGGGAGGAGAAGGAGTAGGATGGCGAGGAGGACCAGAGTAAACCCAAGATGCATCAGCGATGCTGCACAGCACCCTCCCGTCTAAAGTCCCAAGCTCACAAGTCCCTACAAGCCTCCCTTCCCACAAACAATTTGGTCGCCCGCTTGGTGCGACACCGAATTTTGCCGCCTAGGCCGTTGCACATTGTCGTTTTGGGATTCAGACACTTCGGAGGTAGCCATGCGTGGAGAAAAAAACGCCCTTCTCACTGCAAGAGGCGACCCTTTGAAAGACAAGCGCCTGGCGAGGGCCCCGCTCTGATCAGGACTTGCCGTGCACCCCTCTAGAGCAGCGCAGTCGGGATTTCCAAACTCTATGATCATGAAGTTCAGCGTGGTGTCCAGCGATAGCACCGCTTTGAGGAAGAGGCTCGCCCACATCTGTGCACTTGATGCGCAGGCCGACGCTTCGGGTCCTGAGCTCGGAGGAGGTCTTGAGCGGCAGCTCCGTCTTGACAAGGAACCGCCCTCCACGTGCGCAGGTCCTGCAACTTTATATAAGCGTCTGGTCTCTAGCTCCAGGGACATACAGTGGGGACGCGCATCAAGAAACCATGTGCTTTTCGTCAGGGGAATCCTGGGTTTCTTCGCTCATCCCGCTGCGCGGTGACTTCCCGCAGCCGTTGAGGCAGCTGCTGCGTTCAGGGTGCTCCGGGTTTCCCCTCAGGTGCACCTCGCGCACGGGTTCTCAGGGTTGGGTTTCTTGCGAGGGTTGCTTGCGGCCGCGCCCGCACTGTATCGAGCGACAGCCCTGTTCTGAAACGGAGCCGTCCTCCATCCGCGCAGTTAAGTGGAAGCTTTTGAGACGAGTGTGCGCAGCGCTAAAGGGGGAGCCCCCTCTTGAGACCGACTTGCGTTCCATCAGTGTGACTGTTGCAAGCTTTTTCAAGACGGCTGTGCTCGACGTTGAGGCCTGAGCCCCATTTTTGAAAGAACCACCCGGCATCCGTGCAGCTGTTGCGGACCTCCCAATGGGATTGTTCTGAGGGCTTTGGGGCGCTCTTTGGGGCCTCCTGGGGCCAGTTAGGATTACTTGGGGTGGTTAATTTGGGCTCTCCTCCGCGCCAGACGTTGTGTGGAGCCCGGAAGCCCAGCGCGTCGTTTTTGTTTTTACGCATCGGTATAACGAATCATATACATCTATATCTAAATGTACGTATATATACATTTATGTATCAATAGAACCTTCAAAATCCTAGTGGGATTGACACTTGTTTGCAATCCGGGGCCTCTCTCGGAACGCCTTCGAGTCGCCCTTTGGGAGCTTCTCGTGGGCCCTCTTGTTTTGTGTCGTGGGGCCTCCTGGGGCTTCGGGGAGCGTTTCTTCGAAGGCCATCGGTGCATGTTCGAGTAGGCTTGGGCAGGTTTGCCTTGCTGGAGGCCCACACGGCAAACGCTGGAAGCGGGCGAGAGCGCCTTGGAATTCTGTTTTGAGTCGGTCGCCTGTGCCCTTCAGAGTGAGACCATCTAGTTTTCGAGCATTCTCATCTATCCAGCTGCCTGCGGCAAACCCCGCCCCCGTGCCTGTGCAACAGCGCTGCAGGAATGAGACTGAGTGTAGAAACAGCGCAATTCTGACAAGTGGTCTTACAAGGATGGGTCGTAAACTCGACCTCGTCTTCGTCCGCGCGGTAGGAAGGAGGTCGAGTTTACACCCCGCGGCAGTTCAGCGAGTTGTCTGAACTGGAGACGGTTGTGATCCCGACATCGTCTTCGTCCGCGAGGTAGGGAAGAGGAGGAAGAGGAGGAGTAGGAGGAGGAGGAGGAGGAGGAGGAGGAGCAGGAGGAGCAGGAGGAGGAGAAGGACGAGGAGCAGGAGGAGGAGGAGGACGAGGACGAGGAGGAGGAGGAGAAGGAGGAGGACGTGGAGAAGAAGGATAACATGTCAACGAGATAGAGAAGTCTTCTTTGGACCCTCTTGGGGCTGGGGCCCTCCTCGGAGTCTCCTGGGGGCCCTGCTGGTGGCACCTCGGAGGCCTCCTGAGGCCGTCTGGGGGACCTCATGGGGCCTCTTTCGGCCACGCGCGGCGGGGGGCGGGGGGGAGGGGGGAAGGCTTCTTTTAAGCATCTCTGCTTCGTAGAAGGCGCGGGCCTTATCTGCAACTGCAGGGCCGGCGCCTTCTGAGAAGCAGCCTCCCTCTAAGAAGCTTTCTCCTCATCCTACCCCCATGTGCGCACCGCCAACTCTTGGGCTGTCTTAGGGGCCTCCTTGGCCCGCTTGACACCTTCGGAGGCCGTCTTGGGGGCCTCTTTGAGCCGTTCTGGTGCCCTTTTGGAGCGCTTTAGGGCCGTCGTGGGGCCCTCTTGGGACCCTCTCGGGTGATCTTGGAGTCCTCTTCAGCTGACTCGAGGCCCTCTTGGGGCTTCATTGGCTGTCTTGGAGCTATCTTGAAAGTCCATTGGTTTTCTTGGGCGGTCGGAAGCTCAAAACTGGGCGAGAACTTCAACATCCTTCAAACACCGAAGGACAATCTATGGTTTTGGCCTCCTCGGGTTCTCCTGGAGGGCCTCTTGGAGCCCTGTTAGGCCGTCTTGGGAGCTTCTCGGGCCGTCTTCAGACTATCCTCAGAGCCTCTTGAGCTGTCGTCGCGCAGGCCATCTAGAGCCGTTTGGGTGTCGTCTTGGCTGTCTAAGAAGCTGTCCTGGAGGCCGTATTGGCCGTCTGGGGGCCGAAAAGACCGCCGAACGAAATTTCAGAGGGGGGCAATATTTGAAGACGCGTTGGCGAGGGGGGAGGTCGGCCCTATAACACATTGAAAAGCCCCCCAGACAACAGACGAGCATTCTAACACGCCCACTCCGTGCAGGCACGGTGTCGGATGTAACCCTTGGGATACTCCACTATGTGCTGAAGGTACGGTGGCGGATTTTGGTAGGAGGATGAGAGACAGGGTCTATGCGCGTGTGTGTGTGTGTATGTGTGTGTGTTTGTGTGTGTGTGTGTGTGTGTGCGTGCGATTCGGGGGAAGGGGTCGCTGGCGCACGCTCCTGCTGTGGCGCCTTGTGGGCCCCGCTCTCCGCACCCTCAGGGCGCTGGCATGCTGCTGGGCGGCGCTTCTCGTACGCCTGACCTAGCCGGTGGGCCAGGCGGCTGCACTCTGTCTGGCTTGCCCTGCCGCCTGACACCCCGGGGCACCGCCACGGGTGATGGCAAGGGCAGCATCGTGGGGTTGGCCCCTGGGCGACGTGCCTGTGGTGCGGCACCAATTTGCCTTTCGGGGGCGTCTTCCCGCCTCGGCGTGTGCCTGGTTGTGTGTGCGTCGCTTCGTTGTCACACCAGCGTGTTGCGGGTGTTGCTGGCTTTGGCTTGGCTAGCCTCTGGCCTCCATCTCTGCCCCTGTCTCTTCTCTTCCTCCTCTTTTCCCGGCTTGTTGGACCGTGGCCCCTGCCTGAGTGGTGTTTGTTTCGCAGTGAGTCTCTGTCAGATGGCCTTCCTGCTTCGGGACCTGTCTGCGCCTTCCTGCATGGCTGGTTTCCAGCGCCTCTTTCGGGCTTGCATGCAAATTCGGGGCTGTTCCGAGCACAGCCGAGCATTTGATGAAGACACTCCCACCCGAAAAGCTGGGCCAGCGTTTTCATTCAACTTGCCGGAAAGCTGGCCCAGTTTCCTGAGCACGGGCGGTCTCCTGGCGTCAACAACAGGCCCAGATGTCTAACATAAGGTGTTTCTTGATCATAATCTCGGCTGTCTTCTGACCGATCGGCATCTCGCTCAGTCGTCACCCGGGTGGCGAGCTGCGAGCTGGTGTTGATCCCCAGGGCTGGTCGCCCGCGCCTCTCTCTCGCATCTCTACCTGTGTGCGGCCGTTCTGCTCTCCTCTCGCTGGCGCACCTGCCGCCTCTGGCTGCACGTCCACTGCGACGTCTTCTTCGACTACACGTAGGTTTGACCCCTCGCCGGGATGTCCTTCGGTGCCGGCACACCTGAGAACTCCAGGGGGGAAATGGGGCGTGGCGTAAAGGGGTGCGGTGCCAGTGCTGGAGATGGCGATGTTATCGACGATATCCGCAAGTGCCTCACTTGCCGATGTCAACCACGTTGGTTTCGCGACGACCGCATCAGCCGACGTCAGTCCTGCAGGTTCGGTCTCGCCCAAGCAATGGCCCGCCCAATCCGAACGGCCGCGCAATGCCAATTCCAGGACGTCCGATCGCCAGGCGCGCGATTCTGGAAATGTCGGAATTTACGGAACTATTTTCTGAGATTTCGGACTTTCTGGAATTCTTTTATGTGATTTCGGAATTTCCAGAAAGTCGTTTCGGGATTTTCTGAATTTGGTTTATACGCATACGCGAAACAGTAGTAACTTAAACGTTCTGGATATCCAGAATCATGCTTTTGGCGATTCGGAATTTCTGGAATCACTCTGTTCGCGATTCGGAATTTCCGAAATCATTATGATTGCGATTCGATATTTGGGGGTCGCGGGCTTGGCGATCGGAAAATCAGGGGTTGGCATGTGCGTCGTTGTTCGAATTTGATTGCGGCCGGTCGGGAGATGCGGAATCAGGTCTGACGTTGTTCGACGCGATCGTCGCAAGGCCAACGTGGCTGACATCCGCATGTAAGACACTTGCAGATATCTTAGGTAATATTGCCATTTCCAGCGCTGGTTTACGCCACTCCCCTATCCCCTATCCTCCCTTCCCCCGATCGCTGAATACGATGCAGTAGCATCGGCTTGCGTGCTTTGGTTTGGCCCTCTTCAAGCCGCGCACCAAAGGTCACTCTTGCCTAGGGTCACTCTTGCGTGTAGCCGACGTCTGCGCGTCACCGCAGTGGTTGGTGCGCCTCTTCAACGGCGGTCTCAAAGCAGTTCGCCTTTGCCCGAGCTCGCCTTTGGAACCCTCTTCTCAGGGTCGCTTTCGCTGTCGAGGCGGGCCTTAGCGCAGGTTTGCAGTTCGCTACGGCGAAGCAGCCCGTCTTAGTTTCTCGTGACTGTCGGGTCACGCGGCTAGTGGGGGACATTTTGTGTGTGTGCTTGTGTGTGTGTTTGTGTGTGTGTGTGTGGGACCTCGTGCATGGCTTGTTTGAGCTCACTCCTTCGCTTGCTGAATTGCCGCACTCAGCCTGCCCCTCGTGCGGGACTCCACGACAGTTTTTGGCTGCATCGGCCATCTCGCCCGAAGAATGTGTTCAGCGAGTTTGCTTCGTGTAGCCCACGAGCTGTTGACGCGCTCGTGATGCACAGCCTTGGCGCGGGAATGAAGTACGTGTGTGTGTGTGTGTCCTCTGGGTGTTCGGGCGGGCCTGAACGCGCGCGCGCGATTGGCTGCTCTCCACCCCTCTCCGCCCTGTCGCCGCGCGCAGGGCCGCGACGCCAAAGGTGTGTGTGTGTGTGTGTGTGTGGGTGGGTGTGGAGTCCCTTTTTTCCTGCACCAGCTGTACGGCCAGTCCCACCGTTTCCCGCGCCTCCTTCTTCCCCCAGGATTTCAGCTGCACGCATTCCCACAAAGGTGGTCGTAGTGATCGATTGCTAATGTAACCCGCTGCTTTTGTTATTAAGGCGATTGCGACCCACTGCCGCACTGGAGGAAAAAAGTATGTGCTCGTGTTCGTATGTGTTTGCACATGTGTGTGTGGCTCTCTCTCTCTCTCTCTCGCTCTCTCTCTCCCTCTTTCTTTCTTTCTTTCTCTCTCTCTCTTTCGTTCTTTCTTTCTGTCGGATGTTCGACTGCATTTCCTATCACAGCCCCCTCCCTCATAAGGGATCACACGACGGTTTCAGACTGCGGCGAACAAGGATTCGCCACAATTCGCATTATCATGCCCCGTTATCTTGCGGCGACCCGGCTGTGATGAACACCAGTGGCGCAGGAGCCGTGTATAGTTTGATGTGCGTGAGCGTGCGCGCGCCTGTGTGTGTGTGTCTTGGTGTATGTGTGTTTTTGTATGTGTGTGCGCGTTTGTGGGTGTGTGTGTGTGTGTGCGTACGGAGGGCGGCACTTCGCTTGGCCACGTTGGCGTCGGCACACTGCTGGGGCCGAGCCCGGGGCCACTGCCAGCTTCCGGGGCTGCGATTGTGATCCCCGATGTCATGCATAGCACGGGTGCAGTCAGCTGAATGTTTGCCCCCACGCGTGCGGTTCGTGCACCTGCCGTGCGGCAGGCGGCTGCAGCTGCACGTTCTGCGACGGTGTCCGCTCACATCTCTCGGCGGCGCGCCAAGGGGGGTAAGTGAGAAGGGGAAGGTCTTCTCAGAGGGCGGCGCGGCCTCTCAGAAGGCCTCTCCAGCCTCCCGGGAAGTCTTTTTCCTGAGTCTTCGGGGGGACGGCTCCGAGAACTGCTCCGCAGGTCCGATGCCTCCCGAGCCCCCTGAGCAGGCCCGCCCCCTCCTCCTCCTCCTCCTCCTCCTCCTCCTCCTCCTCCCTCCTCCTCCTCCTCCTCCTCCTCCTCCTCCTCCTCCTCCTCCTCCTCCTCCTCCTCCTCCTCCTCCTCCTCCTCTCACTTCCCCCCCTCGCTCGCCGCCGACAAGAACGCTCCTGCCGCACGCGTCGGTCGTGCTTCCTTCACGCGCCCTTTCGGGCTCTCCACGGCTGCTCGCGCAGGGCTCTGCCAGCCCGGCTCACTCTTCCCCCGGGGGCCCCGCGGTGCCTGCCCTACACCTCAGGCGATGCTTAAGAAAACTTAAGTTTTCGGCCAGAGTCTCGATTATTCTTAACGTTTCAATGTAAATCCTAAGATTTTGATAGAAATTGTGGGTTTTTATTCAAGTTCTGAAACCATGAATTTCTTAACCCATGATTTCTTAACCATTTCGCGTGGTGTACTCCCTGCGGGGCGCGAATGAGTGGGGGGGGGCGACAGATGGGGGGTGAAGTGAGGTGCCCTCTTCGGGCCCTCAAGGGCTCCTTGTGTTCGGCAGCCCTCGCGGCCCCCCCCATGTATCGCCCCTCCACTAATTCGCCGCCAGCTCTGCCCGCCTCTCTTTTGCTCCGCGGCACGCGCACACCCCCCACAAGTGGCGCGCCGCTTCCACCCCGGGCTCCCCGTCGTCCTGGCGAGTCGATCACTTCGCTGGCCTTCTCTACAGTGCCAGTCGGCCACTTCGCTGGCGAAGGAAGTGTGCGTGTGTGTGTGTGTGTGTGTGTTCGTGTGTGTGTGGTCGAGGGGGGCAAGGCGAGGAGGCCCCCCTAAAGAGACACCGCTTCCGCCAGCAGCGGCAGTACGGCACCACCGCGCCTCCAGCCAGTGTCGCCTTTGGAGCGCTCTCGACGGTGAAGAAGCGGATGAATTGGGTCGGCCGGGGATTTCCTCCTCATCGTCATCACTATCCCTTTCCTTCTGCTCATCGCTTTATGTTGTAAAGATCGGGGTGTTGGATGCAGTAAAGGGGGGATTGAGAAGACTCGTGCAGCCACCAGCTCTGTTAGAGATGAACGCTCCCAGGCTCACCACACCCTCGATCTCGTGGGAATATGAATTAGGTCAGAGTAGGTGGGCGGGGGCAATCTTGGGGACCCCCGAGACTTCCAGGACATCCATTGGTGTTCTTCTTTGGTGTAATTTGAGACATAGCCCACGGACCCGACCCTTTCCTCAGGTCTAGCTTTCCACCTTGAGATCGTTTTTTGATAATTATCGTTGCCCGAAGCCCGGCTTCCGAGTGCCAAGACAATTGCAAGATCCGACCGCTTCTGCTTTTGTCGAGCCGACGGAGGTATGGGCGCCTCCTTTTCCTGCCCCAGAGGCCTCCAGGGCTCCCCAGAAGGAGCGGCTGGTCGCCGAAGGTCTCTCCAGGCACCAGGAGGCCCACACAGGGTCACAAACGTTTAGGAACTTGGGTCCCTGGGTCCGTGATCGATTTCTGGGGCTGGTGGGGGGCGGGGGACGCGGTGCGGCGGAGGGCATGGGGCAGGTCGCTCCCGTGGTGGCGATCCTCGTCCCGTGGCTGACGTTCACCATCGTAGCCCGGGCCGCCTGCGGCGATGCCCGCACGTTTCCCCGTTTGGCCGCGGCGCCTGAGTGAAGAGGGGTTTCAGGAGACGGGAGGTCGTCGTCGTCGTCGTCGTCGAACGTCGGATCGGGCGGTGCGCCGTTTTCAAGATTTCACGCCAGTCCTTGAAGCTAGCTAGTTATGAATGCCCAAATCCTAATCTACTTTAGGCGCCTTCCTACTTCAAGAGTCGAGCGGTTTTCCCTTTTCCCTTCTCTTCAGGGGGCGGGTGGAAGCCCAATCCACTTCCAGCGCCTTCTTACTTCATGCTTCTAGCCACTTTTCTTCCGACCGGCGTGCAAGTGCCTGCAAGGGAACGGCCCCCCCAGGCACATAAAACAAGACGGGGAAGGCAACATATGAGGCGTTCCAAAAGGCCTCGCCTTCGAGGATCGAAGGAGTGGTCATTTCTTCCGCGGCGGAAGGTCGGCGGAAGGAACACGAGGCCGCCTCCGCTGGCGGAAGCCGGCGGAAGGGCGGCGGAAGGTTGCGGAAGCACAACATGCGCCCCCAAGAGATGGAAACGTGTTTGGGGTTCCGGGTGTCCGAAATTGCCCATCTGTGCATCGCATGGGCAGAGCCTGGAAGCGAGCAGGGAGCCGCATGGGCAGAGCATGGGAGAGGCTGGTAGCGAGCAGGGAGCGCATGGGCAGAGCCTGGAAGCGAGCAGGGAGCGCGGCAGAGGATCCGCGTGTCGCCGTCGACCTGGAGGGGCGGGGGAGGCTCTCGAAGGGACGGCAGGGCGTGCCGGGCGTGCGCCACGCCCAGGCCGTTGGGGAGGGGAGCGAAGAGCAGGGGCGAGGGGGGGGGAGCCAGCGCGGAGTTCGCGGGCTGCACACGAGAGTCGGGTCGGGCATGTCCTCCTACAGGCGGATCTTGGAAGGAAGAAGTCGTCAGACACAGTCAAAGCGAAAGAGCACGGGCATTCGCCCCCAGGCTATTCTCTACTGCTCTTGGGTATTCCTCCTGTAGAGGGGTATGCCCGGCCTAACACTAGAACAGGAGCAGCTGAATGACAGCTCGAACTCTAAAGGCTAAGCGCCAAGAGACAACAGAAGTGGGCAGCAAGCGGCGGCACATGCGGATACCATGGCCGCGCCCGAGAAGCGGGGGCACAGCCCCGGCCTCCGCTCAAGTCGACAGTGCACGAAGGCAGCGGTTAGCAGCAGCTGAAGAGGGGGGGGGAGACCCGCCTTGGGCGGGGCGGGTGCTCCAGGGTGAAGAGCAGGAGCGGCGGGGCGACCCACGACAAGGAAGGGGAAACCGAGCCATGCGTTGCCACACTCCAGGGCACTAACGACCGTGGAAGTGAGCTGCCGAGACCGACTCCAGAGCGATGGAGCGCGTTGGCGAGGGGGGAGGCCGCGCCAGGCGGGAGCGGGTAGCTGAAGTAAGCCCTGACTGGATGTACACGCTTGGGCCTAACCGAGGCGCCCGAGAGAATTCGGGTATGGTCAGGCCTGCAGTGAGACTGCGGCACGCGACGAAATGCGGACAGGCCAACGACAGGAGCGCAAGCGTGCTAACTACTGAGCCTGACCCGAATGCGCAGCGCAGCATTGCACACGGCGACGAGGCGGAATGCTGCGCGCAAGGGTAGGCTGAGCCCGGCTAGCAGCAAGACCGAAGCAGAGCTCGATGCCATAGCGGATTGCCCCCTCGACCATGTGTGATAAGTCGCACAACATGCTCGCAACCCGCTCACGTGCGCTCACGCCAGGGGCTGGGGGCAGACACACCTTCCCATCGGGTGGTTTCTAACCTCCACGCTCCAGTTGCGCGCCGTGCGGCTCCTTCCTGAGGGGCCAACGGCGAGACCTTCAGTAACTCCAGCCGGAATCGGATGCGAAGGCGACGATGAAGGTGGCAATGCTGGCGTCCATGAAGGAGGCAACGACGATACTCCAGGTGCGCCGATGAGGCGAACAAGAGCATGAGGGACTGAAGGTGGCGGGGCGCAGGGACTTGCCCCCGCGTTGCTGGTAGGACCAGCGGCAGCAGCGCGC